AAAAAAAAAAAAAAAAAAAAAAAAAAAAAAAAGGCTCCCCCGGGTAGCCGCAGGTACAAGCATAGGGACAGGAGACGGGCCAGGTTACAGCAGGCGGGAGACAAGGCTGGTGCCCTGTGGCGAGTCCTTCTGTTCCCCCAGTGATTTCAGCCACAGCTGGGGTGGAAGCTCTGAGTCACACAGACGGCCCAGGCCAGTGCTCTGTGGGGAATTCTCCAAAAACCCCTGCAAAACCATGCAGCCTAGAAGTATGAGGACTAATGCCTCCAGGGCCCCCTCAACCCGTGGGGGGTGGGAGCTGCTGCCCTGCCTCCCGTCTTTTGGAGACACGCAGGTCCCGGGGGAACTGAGACCGCATTGCCTTGAAAATGCACAAACCCTCCTGTTGGCTTCTCCTTCCCGTCCTCACTCTTCCTGTTCTCTCCTGGGATCATCTCCCAAATAAACCACCTGCACCCAAGTCTGTCTCAGCCTCTGGTTTCAGGGGACCCCAAAGAGATGAATGGTAGAGATGGAGGTTGTGAGAAGCAGCCAGATCTATGTTTCAAAGGTAGAGTCGTGACTGCTCTCATGTTCGGGGCAGGGGACTGAGAGGATGGAATTGGCGTGGACTGGTTCAGGGAAGACCATGGTGGAGCAGGCCTGACCTTGCACCCTGTTGGTGAGGGTGTAAAATGGGGCGGCCACTGTGGAAAACAGTATGGCAGTTCCTCAAAAAATTAAAAATAGAAAATACCATATGATTCAGCAATTCCACTTCTGGGCATGTACCCCAAAGAACTGAAAGCAGGGACTCAAACAGATATTTTCACACCCGTTTGCATACCCAGCAGCATTGTTCACAGTAGGCAAAATGTGGGAACAACCCAGGCGTCCATTAACGAATGACTGGATAAACACAGTGTGATCTATACATACAGTGGAATGTTAGCCTTGAAAAGGAAGGACATTCTGACCCATACTACAACACAGATGAACCCTGAGGACATTATGCTGAGTGAAATAAGCCGGTCACAAAAAGACAAACCTGTATGACTCCACTTATATGAGGTAGGTAGAGTAATTAAAATCATAGGGACAAAGGGTAGAATGGTGGTTGCTGGGGACTGGGGTCAGGGGAAGGGGATGTAAGTGTTTAATGGGTACAGGGTTTCAGTTTGGGAAGATGTAAAAGTTCTGGGGATGGGGCTTCCCTGGTGGCCCAGTGGATGAGAGTCTGCCTGCCGATGCAGGGGGCGCGGGTTCATGCCCCAGTCCAGGAAGATCCCACATGCCGCGGAGCGGCTGGGCCCATGAGCCATGGCCGCTGAGCCTTGCGCATCCGGAGCCTGTGCTCCGCAACGGGAGAGGCCACAACAGTGAGAGGCCTGTAGTTCTGGGGATGGATGGTGGGGATACTTGCACAATGATGTGAATGCGCTTAATGCCAGAGAACGGTACTCTTAAAGATGGATAAGATGGTAAATTTTACGTTAGGTGTGTTTTACCACAATTACAATTTGAAAAAATTTATAAGAGTGCAAGTTTGAGCCTGGGTAACTGAAAGTGTGGGTACCTATTAGACGTGCAAGTGGGGAAGACAGCAGGCAATCAGATCCACGAGTCGAGTTCAGGAGAGCCGTCTGGGCTGCAAAGAGAAACTGGAGAACAGTTGGCATATTGATGGCCTCAAAGTCAAGACAGTGGATGACATCATGGAGGGAATACGTGGAGACAGAGAGAAGGAACCAGATTGCGCCCTGGGACGCTCCACGCCCAGAGGTCAAGGGGAAGAGCAGGGTCCTTCGTCCAAGAAGGATCAGCACTGAGGAAGGAGGAAAACCAAGGACCGTGATGTCACCAAGGAGAAGGGACAGCCAACTGTGCCCACTGCTTCACAGGCCGGCAGTCTCTTCCATCTGGCTACCGCCCTACTGGGTGTTTTTTGCTGCCCACTTTCCCAGAAGTCGCTCTGCCCTCCTGTTCACCTGACCGCCGGCTCCATGCTGGACCTCAGCTCAGAACTGGGTCTTGCCCACACAGTGGCTTGGAATTTGGAATTCGCTGTATTAGATTTTGCAGAACTTTCATTATATGTGGATGAAGAAAGTAGAAGCAATTTGGCCTTTTAATGACAATGATTTCAGTTCTCTTTATAACTGAAGCCTGGGAAATGTTTAAAGAAGAAAGCTCAGTCATTGATTCCCTGTCTTGAAGATAAATTGATAAATTGGTCCTTTATAGCTTAGGTGCAGGGTCTCCTCTTGCCCCGACCTTCCTTGCCTGGGCTTCTTTCTCTCTGTGTGCCCCCCTTGGGGATATGCTATGTTCCCCACCCTGTGTGGCTCCCTGCTGCCCCGTCTTACTAGCATCCTGTATCCTCAATCCAATTTCAAAGAAATAAAGAGCCAGGCTTTACACAGCACCTGCTTTGTGCCAGGCCCCCAGCTTGGTGCTTGGCAAACATCACACCATTGCGTCCACAGCAATCCTGGGAGAGGGCCTGATTAACCCCATTCTGCAGAGGGGGATACCAAAGCTCAGAGAGGTCCCGTGGCTTGACCAAGGTCACACAGCCAGGAATTGTTGTTTGGTTCTATTCAACCCCCTTGCGGGGCCAACAGCCTGCCCCTCACAGCACACAGAGGGGCTGGGTCTTTCAACCTGTCGTGCCTGCCCCCCATTCCCTGGGGTGTCACGTCACACATAGACTGTGCCTCATGAGTATCCCTTGATGGACGACTGCCCTCCACTTGTCTTTCCCTC